GGCTCAAGCCTGTAATCCTAGCTACTCAGGAGGCTGAGATCTGAGGATTGAGGTTCAAAGCCAGCCCGGGCAAGAAAGTCCATGAGACTCTTATCTCCAATAAACCACTAGAAAACCGGAAGTGGCGCTGTGGCTCAAGCGGTAGAGCGCTCGCCTTGCTGCAGAGACAGCGCCCAAGCCCAGACTTCAAGCCCCACAACCGACCAAAAAAAAAAAAAAAAGAACCCACTCATTATGACTTCTCTCAAAACTTAGTCTAGTGTTCTGTACCTACTGGTTGTTCAATGTGTTTTGGATGTATCTTTTTGAGTATTTAAAAGGCTTCAATGGACCAGGGAAGGTATTTTAAAGATACTTTATTCTTCTAAATTAATATCCCTAAGGTTGTCATAAATAACATTAAGTTGTGGTTAAATAATGATTTAATTTCATTTTGTAAGTTTTTAAAATTGCTATGTTAATGATAATGTTCTTCAAATCAAGCTACATTGTTCTTCTAAGGAATTCTAATGATTAGTAAATATATATTAGTAAATATGTCATTCTATGCATTTTCATAGTAATGCATTTGCATGCATTTTCTATGTATATGCCACAGTAAATATGTCACTCTATGCATTTTCTTCATTTTGTAACATGTATATTACTAGCCAAATATATTTTTCTGTGAAACATTTGAAATTTTTGGTTAAGACAATTATAGAGTTAATATTTCTTTGAATTAATTTTTTCTTGTGCCTTAAATGCAGAATAAACTGCTTCAGTGAAAATAGCATACTAACCTCTCACACTCAAAATTCAGCAAACCAGAAATCAACTACTGAATATTTCATAGTCCCATATAATATGAATGATGTACAGAAGATAGGTATGAAGAATAGTTTTGCATTAAGCTCTACACAGGAAAATGATAAGGGTGCCATTTTCTTTTGTTATTAGCTCAAAAATAACTTAGAAACAGAAGACTTTAGTTCCAAAACCACATTTATTTTTAATCCCTATGTTTATAAAACTTGGCAAAAAATATTTTACATGTATTAAAAGAGAGAATGAAAAAGCAGAGTCTCAAGAGCTTTTCATAAAAATTTCCCAATATTTAAACAGGAAGTAGAATATTAACATTAAGTGGGAAGGAAACAACTGGAAATATCAAGCACTAAGATTACAAAATGCTAAGATTTCTAAATCAGTTGTTTTGTGAGTTTTTAATGCACTGTTAAATACTAACAATATATTCCATGAATAATGCAGTTGCGATGATTTCTTCTTATTTGGATTGCACTTCTGGAAATCAGTAAAATGAAAGAATAAGTTGAAAAAAATCTATCAATCTACTGAACCTACTACAGCTCTGAAAACATGTAATGTCTAATTACAGTGATTTAAGGAATGTAGTATGAATAATAGCAGATGTATTTCATAGATGCCAATCTACTCCATTGAGCTCATGATTGATACTAAAAAAAAATTCCAGATGTGAATAGACATGTACCTCTATTTTTAAGTCTCCAGCATCATGTGTACAAGAAACCAAAACCTTCCTAGGCAGCATGCTGATGCATTGCATGGCACAGCTCTCATTTCTGCTTTGATCGCATGTCCTGTTTCAAAATCTGTCAAAATATGTAGTGCATATTTGTCTATCTATACGTGGTATTTGCGTCTGATAGTGTGTTTGAGTTCTTTCTGGCTCTTTTTCTAGCAGAGTTCAATCCACAGCTTTCTTCATTGGAGAATTTGTGAAATAAAAGTGAGTTATTTGCATTACACACTCTCTTAGATAACCTAGAAGTACAAATTGTATAACTAAGGCTAAAGAAACAGAAAACCTAAGAAACATACAAATTGATCTTAGTTCATCCTTGATGAACTATTTTTTTTTTTTACTTTGGCTTAATTTGCACCCATTTCAGAATTATTATACAACCAAAAGTTGAAGAGGAATTGCTGATAAAGGTGGAATATGAATGTTTTATAAGATGTATGTCCTAATCATTCTGTGATATGTTGGTATGTACATAAGCAGTACAGTTGCCTAAAATTACTATTGTGTAAAAAATAATTTTTATAGCTCTATTACTTTTTTATATCACTCATTCTTTTTATTGGCCTCAAAGACAGTTGAATTGCTAATAAATAGTTTATATTATAAAAATATTAGATACTGACACCTTCAAAAATTAATTCATATGTTTCTCACCTGAAGTTAAAAGCATAAAGCAAAAATTAAATCTTATTTTTCTAGAATTTGCTTCATCGCCTATCTCTAATGATCATCTAACTTCTATCACACATATCACACATTGCAAAAATACCAGTGTTAATGCCATATCAAATTGATTTGCTTTTTAACTTTTCTACTATTCCCCATTTTATTGAGTCTCCTTTAACTTAACTGCCTAAAAACTGAAAAATAAATAATCAAAAATAGGAATTTGGGTATTAAGTATGGAGTATTTAACCCATTGCTTAGCTGGTAGGTTTGGTTAAAAGAGGAAGAAATCTTGTTACAAAACTTAGCAGTGCCAGGCGCTGATGGCTCATGCCTGTAATCCTAGCTAATTAAGAGGCTGAGATCTGAAGGTTGTGGTTCAAAGCCAGCCTGGCAGGAAAGTCCGTGAGACTCTTATCTCCAATAAACAACCAGAAAACCAGAAGTGGCGCTGAGGCTGAAGTGGTAGAGCACTAACCTTGAGCTGAAGAGCTGAGGGACAGAGTGCTCAGGCTCAGAGTTCAAGCCCCATGACTGAAAAAAAGAAAGAAAGAAAGAAAAGAACATCTTGAGAATCACTGGATCTAGCTTTTGATGCTTAGTCAGGAAAATAATGAACTGATTCTCATAGCTCTCCAATCCTTCATATTTGTACTTAAATACATACCTAAATCACTAACATTTTGTTTGTGTCCTTTTCCCAATCTGAAAGACAGAGCCATACAACCTGCTTCTAAAAGTCTGTTTTTGAAAGACAGGAAAAATACAAGACCTGTATTTCATCTCACTTATAAAAGGCTAATAGTCTGTAGTTCTGAGTTGATCATCAGTAGTACTTCTAATAACGTCAGGGGTTGCTATAAGATTCTACTCTTCTGAATGACCTAAGCTCCTCTTTACAGCATAGTGTTTCTCATAGGCTGGAATTTATAAGGTTTTTAGATTGCAAACAATGGTGACAAAAGATCAGGGGTTATGAGATTTCACATTTTTGCTTATCTGAATTGTTCTTAGATGATTTGTTCCAAATGCTGTTTCTAGTAATTACCATGCTACAAATTTCCATTGAAATTCAGCTTTTTGAGAAAGTTGAATTTTATCATGTTGTATAAATGTGGACGATCACTAAATAATTTGGTTTCCAGTTGTCTGTTGGTGATGCTGAAGGAAGTGATGGTAGTGCTAGCATGGTGGTGGTGGTGGTGGTGGTGGTGGTGGTGGTGGTGGTGGTGGTGGTGGTGGTGGTGGTGGTGGTGGTGGTGGTGGTGGCGGTGGTGGCGCATTTGACACTGACTTAACCATATCTATTACATGTCCACTATATGTCCATATCTACAGCCAAGTATTTGGATTTTTTGTTTCAAAATGAGTTATACCTTAGTACTTAGAAAGTATAAAATGTGGCTATATTCGTTGATAATAATTCTTTGCAGTTTCCTAGCAGAAATAGAGGTGGAATTGTTAGAACCTTAGGGTACCTATTAATCTTCCTTGTTTCAATCACTATTTAGTATGCAGTGTATGGAGACAAAGTATAAACCAGAAATTAACTATCTTCAGAAAAAAGAAATGTATTAGTCTTTGATAATTTATGATTTTTTTTGTATTTACTATCCTGGAACCCCTATGTAATTCCGTTGTCTTGGTTCTGGCCTTAGTCTTATATGAAAATTTATTTCTTTTTTGTGCTTTTATAATCCATGAAGTTTCTGAAGGATCCTTCTTTAGAGTGAAATTCGTTGAGGGAGATAGAGTTCCTTTTTTTGGGGGGGGGGAGGGTAATGGGCCTGAATTCTGGGCCTGGGCACTGTCCCTCAGCTCTTAGACTAGCACTCTACCCACTTGAGCCAAAGCGCCACTTTCTGGCTTTTTTTCCTATTTATATGGTGCTGAGGAATCGAACCCAGAGCCTCATGCATGCAAGGCAAGCGCTCTACCACTGAGCCACCTTCCCAGCCCAGAGATAGAGTTCTTAAAGACCACCCTAATATGTTTCCTGCATGTATAAACATGACAAGAATTTCTATAAAAATTTCTCAAATATTTTATACTCCTTACTGCAACTTTTCAGAGGTAGTGTTAAAACAGACAGTATAAATAGGCTAATCAAGGCTAAGAACACAGTGGTCATTGAGATGTTTTAACAACAAAGAGATTTTTTTTAATCTTAAGGCTTTCTCATTGACATTACCAAAACCAAACAGAAATAAATTTCTCCAGGAATTTATTTGCCATAACTACCTCTTACTAGAACAAAGTAATTCAAAGGGAATGTTTTGGTAAAGGTTTAGTGGAAAGATGCATTAATATCCATCAATCTACTAATATGTAGCATTGTTCTCAGCTGAAAGTACTTGTGTACCATGATATAAAGATTAATTGGAAGCAGGGACAATTTTAAGATGCTACCAAACCTAGACTGTAAATGTGTTTGAAGAAAAAGTTTTTCATAAACTCAGTAAAGCCAAGTGTACACCCTTAACCCCCATTCCATGTATTTCTTCTAGTCAATAAAGTATTTCAAATTTTCCTTCCAATTTAAAATATACTGTCTCATTTCTTCATATAAATGATAAAGCAAGTGAACTCACAAGAAAGACTGTCTGGATGTTAAAGATGTTTCTCTAGCGGTGTGTATGTGAGAAACAATTTTTGTCTTGTGTAGCTGTTGGTGAAAGCAGTTTGCTATTTAAACAGCTAATAAATGTTATGTCTCCTCTAGAAAACAATGGCTGCCCTATTCTGTACTTTAGTGAGAAGATAATGAACTGCTTTATTTCATTTACAGACAATGCTAATGAGGAAGAGTTGGAAAAGATCAAGTAAGGTAATTCTTAGCATGTGATCTTTCAGCTTTTCTTGTTGAGAAGACTATCAGCTGCTTTCCCAAACCCTTCTCATCCTTTTTCAAGTTCTGCCACAGATTCTCATCCCTCCAATTGTTATTTTTTTCTCCATAAATTCTAAGCAAATCATGCAATGCTTTCTTGATAAGTAGAAATCACAGCAATTCAGAACACTCAAATCATCTTCTTGCTAAGCTCTGGTCATTTCTTGACCTCATTCTCAGCATCTGGCCTCTATAATGTGTAAACAGGGTCTAGAAAACCTCCCTCCCCAATGAACTGACAGGAGTAGGCAGGAACAAGTACTCCGGACAGAAGTAGTCACTGAATTTCCTATTTTGTTCACAGGAAATTGAGTATAAGGTTTTTCCATGTTCAGAATCCCCCACATTGGTATAACTGAGAACGATCTCCCTCCATGCCTCTTCTCACACCTGGAAATGCATTGGTCTTGGGAGTCAGAAATTTATGGTACCTATAATAGACTAGTCTGAGTTCTTCTTGTTACTTACAACACATATAAAACATAAACTAAGTGGAAGTATTGTTCTTGGACATAGATGAATAGATAATACTAAAATTTATAGCAAGCCTTGAAAAAATTCAGAAGATTTTATTTGTAAAAAAAACCCATGCTTGCTCAAATTTCTACTGAAAAAAAAATCAGTATTTCTTTTACAGAGTGATGAATTTTTTTAGACCCTGGAACATGACAATCCTTTTTTCTTCCATTCTGATCAAATCATGCTATTACTTAAGTTTGTTCTTTAATTTTGTCATCTTTATTTATTGTGAATTAGGGAATTACTCATACTAAAGTGTTTTTTATATTTGTGGTAATATTTTAATTAACAAATATTTCTTATGTACAGTTCCTTCCTAATTTTTACAGCAGTAATAACCAAAAGATAACTCGTCAAAAGGTCAGATCCCTAAATCACTTGCTTAGGATTCCTGAGTGTACACAGTGTTTTTATAAAACAAGTTTTAAAGAAATGTTTACACATTAGTTTTTGTATTACTTTCTTCTTTGTACTCTAAAGTTAGTGTTACACTAAAATTATTGTTAAATTTGTATGACTTGACTTTCCTTCATACTGTATCAATTATTATATAATTGCATAAAATACAATAATCCATAGTGTTGCAATAGTCTATCTTCCAGATAAATTTGACATGTAGTGCTAGAATAGTATATTATATAGTTTGGTATTAATGGGGATTATGTATTTTAATATAAAAGAAAGAAGTATATTTTAATATAAAAGAATATATTTTATATATTATATATGTTATATATAATATAAAAGAATACATATTTTAATATAAAAGAAAGAACCTAAAATAACAATAACAAAAAATGTTCTTAAAAGTACATCTAATGTAAGCCAGACAGCAGTGGCTCCTGCCTGTAATCCTAGCTTCTCAGGAGGCTGAGATATGAAGATTTAGGTTCGAAGCCAAACCAGGCAGGAAACTCTGGGAGACTTTTTTTTTTTTTTTTTGGGTCCGGTCGTGGGGCCTGAACTCTGGGCCTGGGCACTGTCCCTCAGCTCTTCAGCTCAAGGCTAGCACTCTACCACTTGAGCCACAGCGCCACTTCCGGCTTTTTTCTTTTTGCTTATGTGGTGCTGAGGAATCAAACTCAGGGCCTCAGGCATGCAAGGCAAGGCTCTACCACTGAGCCACCTTCCCAGCCCCTCTGGGAGACTTTTATCTCTCATAAACTAGTCAAAAAAGCTAGAAGTGGCACTGTGGCTAAAGTGGTAGAGTATTCAGCTTAAGCAAAAGAAGCTCAGGGACAGTGCCCAAGTCTGGAGTTCAAACCCTAGGACCGGTCAAAAAAATCATATTAATGTTTAAATTTAATCTTAATTATATGTTAAGTAGAAGTAAATTCACATATTTTCCTTGAGTCTTAAATGAATAATAAACATCTTATTTTGACTATTTATGTGTAAAATTCTTTGAGTTATTACCATTAAAAATCCATTTAATCATAAAAAGTGTTACATTGGTACAAGCATGCCTCTGAAGATACAGAAGCTCTGCATTCTAACACGCTACGTATTTGAGAACTTGGCAGCTTTTTACATTGAATACGTGTGTTCATATTACTTTGGGGTTTTAGTCTGAGGGATTTGGATAAAATTTAATGAGGATATTAAATGCAGAGTCAATTAAACTCAGCTCATTCATTTTATTCTTTTTCACAAGAACATAATGAACACCTCCTAATTCACTCAGATGTTCACTATGCCCTGAAACATTTGCAATATCCTGCCATATTAGTATTACAAGAGTACAGTGCTCAATGTTAAGAAGGGCAAGTTCGACATTTCAATGTGTACCTACCTCACCATGCTTCACACACACTACCAGGTAGAAACTGCTCTCTGGATCCTTTCCTCCAGTGCATTACACTTCCTGGGAAACTGGAGGATAAATGATGAGATTGTGGTTTCATACATTTTAACAGTGATATGTACATATGTCACTTTGCTCAAAATCAAAGATAAATTTTACATACAAACACAAGTCACTTTCTTCTTGGGAACTTTAATTTATAAAATGAAGTCTCTTGAATTCTGAGGCCAGGACGCTGGCATGCAGCCTTGGAGCACCAGTTGGTGAATGTAAAATTAGAGTGGTAGTGTGCCTGTCTTGCAAGAGAGGCTCTAAGTTCTAACCCACTTCTATGCAGGGACATAGATGAAACAGGGGAGGAGGGCAAAGCAGAGGAGAGAGACAGGGAAGCCATCTTGAAGTCAGGAAAATAAATCATAATTGCTGTTCAGAACCAAGTCATCTTATTTGCAGTAAGTGTGCTATCAAACGTAATAAAAGGTGGGAAAATGTACTTACCCCTATGTCTGAAGAGCAAGAATATGTAAAATACATGCTATATTCAGCAAGAAGTTATAAATTCTATATTTCATTTCCTCAGGATTGAAGCATTCTTTAAAACTCTGGTTTTCCCCAGACACATTTCAAATTCTCCCCCTTACACAGAAAAGGTAGAAAAATGTTGTATTGAGAAAAAAACATTAAATCAATGTCTCCACCAAATTGGGCAATTAGATAATTATACTGGTCAAAGAGTTACACTCATGCTATAAAATGAATTTTGATGGAGAAAGAGTAATATTTTGAGTTACTATAATATCATACTCTTTAGATGTAACATATCATTGATAATATCTCCTAAGTTCAAATTATTCATCAGGAAAAGTTTCATACGCTCAAAAAAAAGATTTGTATGTATTTTGAGAATAAATTTTGTTGTGTCAAATCAAAAATAGAGAAAAAGTGAAATAATTGGTTCTGTCAGATATCACATGGTAAGATTAAACAGTTTTATGCAATATTGTGTGAATGTGTGTGTTTGCATGAGTGTACATGTCTGCTAACCTAGAAGAATGAGTTTGCTACTAAAGTGGGATAATAATGTGTTTGCACATGTAAGAAATATTGTGATGATATACATGTTACGATTCATAGCCTCACAGTTTAGAAGTTTTATGAGAAGTTTATGTTTTATGAGAAGTTCATCTTTTTTTTTGGGGGGGGGGGGTCCGGTCGTGGGGCCTGAACTCTGGGCCTGGGCACTGTCCCTCAGCTCTTCAGCTCAAGGCTAGCACTCTACCACTTGAGCCACAGCGCCACTTCCGGCTTTTTTCTTTTTGCTTATGTGGTGCTGAGGAATCGAACTCAGGGCCTCAGGCATGCAAGGCAAGCGCTCTACCACTGAGCCACCTTCCCAGCCTGAGAAGTTCATCTTTTGAGTAATTACTAGGTCTTCTGTTACATGACAGCTTACATCATTTTTAATGCATCTTATTATAAAGATTTTATATAAACACAGCATAATTTTAATGAATAAAAAACAATTTATGCATTGGCTGAATGAAGCAGTGAACTTGGTTAGACTTTTGGGAAAAAAAAAGTTGTATCATTAATTTAAAGCAGAAAACTCTTGAATGTGCAAGTTACAGAGCATAGTTAAGCTTAATATTTTGGATGACAGATTAGTTAGTGAAAACTTGTAATTGCTTGAAGCAATGTGGGAGAAATAAAACCTTTTAAAGAATCTCATATAGTTAGACATAGTTATCAGATCCTTTCTACAAATGTCATCTCCTAAAAAGTCGGTGGTATTTTTAAGCTATAAAATTTGAAAACTTTTATATAAACTGATAAGTTGAATTAAAACCCCTTTGTACAATTACTTAATGATAATAATAAAAGAAATTCAAAACATTTTTGTTAAGAGCCTTCTCAACTGTAATGGACAAAATGATTTTTTTTCATATACCACATCTAGTTATTATATAATGTGTGTTTTTCACATCTAGTTATTATATATGTGTGTTTAAAAAATGTTATGTTTACATGTTTTGAAGATGACACATAATTTCATTTAGAAATCCTTACTTTGCCATTATTTTTGCTCTCATATTTATGTTTGGAAATGCCATAAGGTCATCTTCATAATTCAGATTAGAGATTCTACGATGAAGTAATGTCATTCTGTTAGAAAAGTGTATATTTTGACCCCAGTAACCAAACTTCTGAAATCTGTTACTTTAAAATGGATATATTTTCATAATTACAGTAGATATTTGATCACTGATTGGCCTTCACATTTAAGATATGTTAACTGATATGCTTACCATTTTCCCAAATGTCTTAATCTCTTTTCTTTTTGCACACAATTAGATCAATACCCTCTGCCTTTAACTGTGAAAGATTAGAAAGAATAAAATTTTAGTACAGTTAAATATGATCTATAAATTTTTTCACATGTAGATGCACATCCTGATTAATAAAAAATATTTGTAAATCACAGTGAGAGAAGTTTACAATTGAAAAGGAAAGCATGCAAATGTTCTAAAAGCTAGAAGAGGATTCTTTCAGTCAAAAATGTAGTAGCTGGGCGCTGGTGGCTCACTCCTGTAATCCTAGCTACTCAGGAGACGAGGCTGAGATCTGAGATCTGAGGTTCACAGTTCAAAGCCAGCCTAGGCAGGAAAGGCCGTGAGACTCTTATTTCCAATAAACTACTAGTAAACTAGAAGTGGCGCTGTGGTTCAAGTGGTAGAGTGCTAGCCTTGAGCTGAAGAGTGGAGATACAGCGCCCAGGCCCCACAACCAAAAAAAAACCAAACATGTTGCAGTCAACCCACTTATGATCTGTGCCCAGAATCCAAATGTATGTGTATCACTTTTTGTTATTAATGTGTAGAATCTGATGTGATGCTATGTCAAATTAAAACCATATGTGTAAATGTGAATAATAATAGCTAAGTGGTGCTGCTATACTACTATGTGAAATGCAAGAGTCCTAATGACCCAGAGGTCATTAGTAAGGCTACCCTCTCCCCCAACAAAAGAGCCTAAAACTCTAAGTAAGCAACTTGGAAAATATGATTAGTTTGTTTCATTGAGAAATGGATTTCAAAAGCACAAATAGGTTGCACAGATAAACTCTAATGTAATTTCAAGCCCACTCTTAAATTAACCAAATGGCTTAGCAGTTTAGTTTGTTTTTATTTTCTACTATAATTTTTGTTCTTGGTGGTGGTGGTTGTGGAGGCTGAACTCTGGGCCTTGGCGCTGTCCCTCAGCTCTTCAGAACAAGGCTAGTGCCCTACCACTTTAGCCACAGTGCCACTTCAGCTTTTTACTGCTTATGTGATGTTGAGGAATCGAACCCAGGGCCTCATGCATGCGTGACAAGCACTCTACCACTGAGCCAACTTCCTAGCCCTCTATTATGATTTTTTAAATCATGTTTGCTAGAGATCTATGGCCTTGTACAAATATTACTTTTTTTTCTTTTTTTGCTTATGTGGTGCTGAGGAATTCGAACCCAGGGCCTCAGGCATGCAAGGCAAGCGCTCTACCACTGAGCCACCTTCCCAGCCCCTACAAATATCACTTTAAGTGACGTTCAGTAATAGTCAACTAAAATTTACTGTGCACTTTCTATGCCTTGGATCCAACATGAGATTCTAGACCACTACTGTGAACACAAAAACCATAGATAAGAACATTGAACAATCAGTTCCTGTTCATCAGCATCGAACACTGAACTTTCCTATAAGTCTCATAAGTTTCCCATAATGTTATCATAACTGATACCTAGAGAGAGGATACAAAACTTTAAAAGCTCAAATGAAGCAAATTTAAATGTTCAGTTTAAAATTAGCTAACTAAAGTTTTATTCTCCCTAGTTTATAAAGGATTAAGTAATAAAATATCAAATTTGTATCTATTGTTTTATTTTAAGCCCAACAGCCACCTTTCTCAGTAGTAATTTCCTTAAAAATTTGTAAAAGAGCTATGATAATGAAGTAATTATATCAGGAAATTTGTAATTTTTGTAAGGAATTGACTAAGAGTTCTGCAATTATTTTTAATGTTCCCAGGGTCTGTGGTTAACATAATTTTCTGCTAAAAGGAACAAATATCTTGTATTCTATTTTTAAAATCCTAAAATATGCTTAAACAATTCTACTTTCTATAATGAAACAACAAACTCCAAGACATCTTAGTGATTAATGAAGAAGGTGGAGGTAAGTAGATTCCAAGCATCTGCTTTCAACTTTATTATGTGTCATCAGAGCATTTTATTCAAGAGAAGAAACTTCAAACATTCGAAGTCTCTTTTATTTATATTTTTTCTTGTTTTTTGTTTTTCTTTGATTATATTTTTTAATTTTGAATACCAATTAAGTATTCTCAATGCATCTTAAAATTTAGGTAACTGTTTGTTTGTTTTTAGGACCTCTCAGAAAATGAAGTGGTTGGATCTTATTTCTCTGTGAAGTCTTTCTTTTGGAGGGTAATGTCTACATCCTTTAATATGAATATTCTTAATTTTGGGTTCCAAAGAACCATTTTGAAAGTTCATCGTGATTTTAGAAATTCACTTTTCAAAACAGGTTCCCAGATTGATGTATTCATTTGCTTTCTTTATTAAATTCATTCTATATCATCTATTTAACTAACTTAAACATTTCTTCACTTGAAAACATAAAGAACTTCATATAATTAAAAGCATTGGTCTTTGAACAGACTCATTTTTTGTGATCATAAACAAAAGGATTCATTGTTACTACACTTACTATTTTGTCATTAGGAAAGTTCCTCTTTCTTTGAAAACCTTTCACATTGCAGTGACAATGCTAGACTCTTAGGGCTTTGCTATTTTCCTGTTTCTGCTCTCAAATTTCCCATGAATACTGAAAAATCAATTACCTTTGCCTTGAGGATACAGATTGCCAGGTTCCAGGTTAAGTCAGACACTGACCAGTGACCCAGTCTTTGAACACGTACTCATCCCTGCCTGTTGCAACACACACATGTTTGGCAGCCTTTTCTTGTTTTGAGGTTGTCTGAAGGAGTAGCCTTCTCACTGCCTTTCAGACCACTGCCTTCACTGCAAGCTTCCTTGCTAGAGTTATACTATGTCTTTGCTAAAATAATCGTTCCTTTTATATGATCCAATAGTATCCATGAACACACAGGCTACCTATTTTTGAATCCTTCCATGACCTTAGGTGGAAAATGGCTTTTTGTGCAAAAAAATTGTCTTACTGTTTTCTCACTTGAGAGAATTTAGGGATTTTCTGCGAGATTTGCCACCATGATCAACTCTAATTACTATGCTCCCCCCACTTTATTTTTAGGTTTCCCTTTCTCTTTCAACATCTTTCTGCTTTGCTCTTTCCAAATTAGACCCTTCCACTTACTCATGCTTCCAGTTTGATTGCATTTATCTTGCAGCATTCTCTAATAACTTTCTCAATCTTTTGAACTGTCTAACTTTAGAACAACAAATATGCAGGCTTAAGAGATGGCTTTCTTTGTATCCAAAGTATAGTGGTAATGTCTTTTTCTGAGCATACACAGGGGAACAGCAAATGAATTGAGTCAAGGGCAGAAACTTTACAGAAGCCATTCTTATTACCAAGGAGGAAATTAAGGCCCAGAGAAGTGATATCATTGTCCTAAAGTACCTAGATAATAGGATCTGCACAGTTACTTCCCCAGATGCCACAGAAATAAATGTTTTAAAGGACGTAGACCATTAAAATATCTCTTTGGGTTGCTTTTAGATATAAAAAACCATATTTTACAGCTTTTTCTCTCTTGCAGACTTGCTGAGTTGGTTGTTTCATTTACAAATCAAATAACTAGTGACCAATTCTTTTTTTTTTTTGGATGAGTATTATCTTGCATATTCATGTATATGTCACTTTGGTAAATTATCTCTTGGCTCTTTACCCAAGCTATATTGTCATAAGTATGTTGGATGCATATATAAAAGGAGGTTTCTTATGGGTCTCATTTACATTTTCAGTATTTTTTTTAAAAACTAGTTCAAATAGAATCTTGGATCAAGAGTTTATGAGTTAAACAAGATGTGGTTTGAAAAGAAATTATCAGCTTAATTTAGAAGGATCAATACACATGTTCAGGAGACACTAAGTGTTATAATGAAGAAAATGAAATCCTAGCAGAACTTTCTTAGTAAAAATGCCAGTACTATTTACTATATTCATAAAATCATAATAATGGGTAAAAAGATTTAAAAATTCTAATTTTCCAAATGCATAACTTTTATAATTCATCAAAATATCATATCTTAAGACACACAGCATTAAACAGTAAATAGGACAATCGCCATTTTGCTCATGAAATGGGAAATCACATTGGTTTACTCTAATTAGGTTAGCAATTCATTAAAGATTTTTAGCTTCTCATTAATGAGTCATTTAGAACAGTACTTCCAAATATTTGGCATATTTAAATTCTAAATCTAGTGATCTCTACTAAACAAATATCTAGACTCTCATAATAGAGTTGATTAAATAATACTGCAAGATCACATAGTGAATTGAAGAAAATGTTTAACTTTTTAAGTGAAAAGGGCTGTCAAATGCCAAAAGAACTCATAAAAATAAAGGAAAATACTATGACAAGAAGAGTACATAGAAAACACAGAAAATGGGGCTTATGTCAGATCACCCAGTATAGTTGGAACAGATGGACAAATGGTTGAAGGAAGTTTGCAAACTAAATAAGAGTTATTTATTTTGTGTATAAAAAATATAATCCGGTGCCAAAACTCATTTTGAACAAATTTACTATGTATAATATATCCTACCCCAATAGTCAGGTATTTTATTTTGGCACATGAACATAATCTCAAAAGTATTTGTAAATTTTAATTAAAAGTATACAAAGAAAATAACTGTAAGTCAAACAAAGCAGTATCATTCCTTATCTGTATCAGTGGTAGAAATCTGTAGATTAACAATCCAACAATATTACAATACGAATGGTGACTTTACATTAGCATATGCTTTGAAGAATACAGTTTAAGCTAAAGAAATTTTGTTTGCCCACAGTTAAAAAGGAGAAAGTTAAAACACCTTCAGTAAATACAAATACCTTCCTGGCACCACAAATTCTATCAAAAGCAATACAAATATGAAAAAAATAAGAAGAAAAGCCAAGAGAAATTTTCTAAGGATTACAGTGCCAGTGAATCATCTTCTAAGAAGAAAAGGGATTGAGGCTTCATTCTTAGAAAAGACACTTCACAGTAGGCTGCACAAAGCACTGGCAGGCTTTCTGTAAGGCAATCCTTCTTTGAGAGAGTGGATAGCTGCAGAACAAATCTACTTGTTGGACTTCATCATCCAACTGCAATTCACCAGAATAAACTCTGCAGGAAAAGGAAAAGATAGAACCTGCCTGTGCCTGGGATTGAGCTAATAATTGCCCCACACACTAGTTTGGGCTGCACAAAACACCCATTCAAAGCTGTCATTATCTTTCCATTGTAGTGGCCTGTGAATCATTTGATTAAATAAAAGCACATGCCACCTCTGTGTTGAAAATAGAGAAAAGAGCTGACTCCACACATGGCTTATTGTAAACACACAAGCAATGTCTTTCACTCCAGCTTAGCAGTATCTGAGGCTCATTTGAAAGGATTAGGTTTTGTACAGATACTACAATCCAGGGTAAGAAAAGCCAAGGATTCTTTGTATACATTAAGGAGAGGAGTGGTATACCATACCTGTATTCCCTTAGCCACATATTGATTTTAAATAGTTTTTTGCTTACATTTTTTAAATCAAGGATCTAGACTAATAGAAAATTCTGTCCTTAGTTATCCAGTTTTACTAAGAATAGTTGTAATATATTTTATTATTTAGAATGAGAATGTAGACATACTCTCAACCCATATGCTAGATTCCACAATTTCATCACCACCATATTGACAGACATTAGATAGATGGATAATTGAGTATAGAATACAATTATCTAATAAACTTTAATGAATAATATATGACAGTTATTAACTCCTGGCTCTTTTTGCTTCCTTGCCTGCCACTAAGTATCTTTCCTCAGTAATCTATAACCAGGATATATTTCATCTTTAAGGCAAATCAATTAAAAAAACTTGTGCCAATTAATTCCATTTTATATCAGAAAAATCACAGATTAGATAAGTAGCTCTAGATTTAATTCTTTCCCTGGTCAATCTCTAGACTTTTGGCTTTGAGTAGGGTATTTAATCTTCTCTGTGGTTCAATTTCTTTACCTTAAAAAGAGATGCTTCTCATCAAAACCACTAGAATGTGAATGTCTGGTCATACTCTAACTGCTTAATGAACATTGATGGATATTTTCACCTAACCCATCTTTCAGAGTGGCCTAATCCAATCTTTCCTATTTATGTTATTAAAGCTAATTCTTCTTATCCCTTCATCCCTTTTGTTTAAAAATGTTTTCTAGCAACCCTTGAAATCATTAATACAAACTTTGAGCTCCATCATGATTATTTCCTTCCAGGATCTCTTATTTGGCTACATATACCTTAATCCATCACATTCTACTCTTTGGTTTTAGTAGAGAAGAGATATTGGAGGGGGAGGGGTGGCTTTGGTTTGGTATATATTTATAATCACTCATTACTTTTATGTTTATAAAAATCGAGATTCTGATGAGCTCATTGAAGGGATGGTAAAGAGAAGAATTCAATGACCAGAAAAGCACTGAAAATCACTTATTCTGATGTTCTTTAAATCATGTGATACTGTGTTTCAAAGGTTTGCTTCTGCTGTATAGCAAATACATGAATGTCTAGTCCACAGATGAGTGGCGTCAATGCCACCTGAGAAACTTGTTCAAAATTCAGATTCCTTGGCCTTTTCCTCTAGATCAGTAGCTTCAGAGTGGAGCCCAGTACTGTAGTTTAATCTCCTCTCCAGGTGTCTTCCCTTCTGTTCTAATGCTGATTATGTAACAAAATTGCCCATTCTCAGACATGGATATTATTTATCCTATTGCAAGCCCTTCTTTAGTCCTACTTTTCTATTTACTAATCAAGAATGCAAAGTTTATTACTTTTCTTTATTGTTTTTTCTCATAGAATGTATGTTAAATAAATATTTATTGAAGCACTGATAATTAGTCAACCAAAAACTACTCCTGAGACTGTAACATTATCCCTCTGTAAAACCAGCATAACCCTACCAGTGTTTTGTTATCTAAGGCAATGTTCTCAACTAAGTCTTTGTTGGACTGGAATTCTACTTTGGGGATGGGGAGAAGAAAGAATAAAAGGAAAAATCCAATCCAAATTGAAAGTAGAAAAACGCACTTTGAAAAGACAGAATATTGAACCTTCAAGACAGTCTATAAATTTTAGCTGTCAACTTTTTTGTTGCAATTAGTGGGTTTGCTGCTTTCTGGATGTGATTAAGTTCTTGAGTAGAGTCACAATTTCATTTCAACCTGTACCCAGGTGATTCTCATATACAC